ATTGTTGATAGGTGGAAACCTTTTTGGATTATGATAAATCAACAAAAGGAGTTGTATTGACAATTGATCGTCATGTAGCAAAATTCTCTCTTTTAACTATACTTCATGGAAACTCTCACCCAACTACAATACATGGAGGTATTCCTATAATCTTTCCTCCAGTATGTGCCCCTGTCTCTTAGTTGTTTAATTCACTGTTTTTATATTTATTCTAATCATTTATTTTGTTTTTGAAACATCTCAATGTTGTCTTATGCTTTTCCCTTTCTGAATTGGTTATAACTGCCACTTTTTTATCCTACATCAATAAGAATTTTGTTGAGAGTTGAACATTAACATTTTCTTTCTTGAGATACTTTTTCTACAAAGTTAAATGTATGTGACATATATATCTAACATTGTTGTTTATATGAAATAAATGCATCCAATTCAAGAAACATAGGTGCAAGTCTTATGATGTTTTTGGTTAATAGTTTTATTGTTTGTGGAACAAGGTTATAGAGAAGATAAGGGTTTGAATTGGGAGAATAATGTTGATGAGTAAGTTTTGATTCATGTACAATTTGATCAAGTTATTAAACTTCATTCTACTGTCATTAAAGGAATGGAGAGGGTAGGTTTGTCACTAAACTTCTTTCTCGCCTCTTGGGTGTATGTATGTTTTCTTGATCATAGTTAGTACAGATGCAACATGATCAATTGTATTATAGATTTGTCTAGGTTACCAATATAAGCATATATAGTTTAAGACATAGCTTAACTAGTTATTAACAATATTCGACCAAAATGCATGATTAAATCACACATTTTCTACTTTTACATATTTTAAGATAAATCTTTTGAATACAAAAAAAAGGTTTACATAAATACCCCTGATCAAATATATGTTGTGAGCCCCTCACTGGTTATTTGGTGCCTGTAGAGTTGTCTCTTTGCCCACAATTCAAAACGCATCATCTTTGCAAAGTACTCTTTTGTGTGGGACTTTGGTTTCATGACTTTCAACCATCACTCTTACATTAAGATTATCAAATCTATAGAGAAACTGAAAATATATTTATTTTTAAAGTACAACTTATATTTCAAGTGTTGAAACATATTTGGCTTATGGTTATACTACATGATAGTAAACATAACTATTAATGCTAATAACATAAATCGTTACTAAATTATTTGAATTTTTTTTTTTAATTTAGTCAGATAAGTTATAATTGTCTAGGATAAGTGGTAACTTAATAACCCCTAATAAATAAATATAAATCGTTTGGGCTTTAGTCTTGTAAATGAAATGAGAAATAGTTATTTGATGTATTCACATAACTGAAAAATATAAATTAATAGTAACAGAAAATCCAAATTTCTCAGCTAAACATGCAATATAATAACATTTTTCTAAAGATACATTGCAATAACTATTTTATAGTATAAAATAATATTGTGGATTTTTCACCACATAAGTATCGCACATAAGTGTCGTACCTTGTAGTGAAACTAAATAGTTTTGCATGATCTCGCAAGGTCATAGGTAAAAGAATACAAATGTTACCTAATGATTTTGAATGTACTAGTATTGTTGGTTACAAGAATAATATACAATTTAAAATGTTAAAAGTCTTGTCATTTGTTGATTTTTTACAAGTTCAGGGATTATCATTAAATAATTATTCCCAAACTTTACAGTTTTATGTAAATTTTGAAGGTATAAAGTTGGACGAGTGGAACAATTGGAAACATCAGAGGAAGCAAAATTTAAAGGTCTGTTGCTATAAGTTTTATGAATTAAATGTATTTTCTTTTATGGAATATTAAATGTCGTATTATGTCATTTATAGATAACGTGTTATTATTTATTTATATATTATGTGTCTAAATGTTCACATGTATTACAAAGGAAATTAGCAAGTTACACCATCAACGTTGGTCAATGGAAACATTTGGCCTCGAATTGTTCATCTTCTTGCTATAAACGAGGTATATTCTTTTTAGTTATATAGTTTTGTTGGTAATTATCCATTTATTTTCGATCAATAATTACAAGAATCACGTACACCTCATAATAATATATTTGTGAATTTGGTATAAGTTTAAAAACTAATGGTGGATATATTAACTTACCAAACTCAACTATGGGTAATGTAACAACTGTGTCAGGCATAAGTTGCATGCTACTCCACCATGAATAACACGAAGAAACCCTAGACTTCTCATCCGATACAACACACCTCACTATAAATGCTCTACGTTCCTCAACAAACAAAAAGGGGCAACAAAAAAGTGGTAAAAATGAAACAATTGTAAGGGTGTTCTACTATTAATCATTTTGCATGAAATGAACATCTAATACAATAAAAATATGCATGTTTTCTAAGTAATGGACAAGCATATTTCACAACTCAACAACACAACCATTTGTTCTATGATTTTGTGAACTATAACTTGCATCCAACCACCTAATTCTAACCATATAAGGGCCTTGGTTAAGCCGTTTCAATGGCCCTACAATAGTCTTTCACTTCTTCAGTATCCCACCATCAACCACTTGCACCATCATGTATGTCCTTCTTGACTCCGGATGGATAACGTAGCATCCGCACTTAGGGCCTAAAACTTTTAGATGTTAGGTTTTCTATGTATCCAAAACACGTAAAACTAGGTAGTGAAAAAAATAAATTATGATATACCTAAGTGTACATGCAACCTATGGATGTATGGCTTCGCGCTTGAGCTCTCGTTCTCGTGACCTTGTTTACATGGAAATGACTCAAACTAGAATCCCTCTCTTGGTTCATAACCAGTAAACTCAAAAGTGCATATAGTCAAAATATAACTAGGAGGAGTTAAACTCTTAATGAATTCCTCCACAAGAAGGGAGAAAGAAGACGCGAAGCTTCAAGCCAAGAATAAGCAAGTATTATTGGATTTGGATATCTTCCACTGTTTTTGTTGGATTAAGTGTCGAATCCCATAACTATAATTTGTATATACTTGAACTGATTCTAGCATAGTTTTTTTGGGTTGCCTCATAACTAGCAACTGGACGACATGACTTTTGGAGAGAGAGAAAGAGAGGGAGAGAGAGAAAGAGAGGGAGAGAGAGGTTGATTTATTATATAATTAATAAATTAAAATAAATAATTTATTAATATATTGTGAGAACAATATGTTAATTACAAATAATTATATATAATTAATATTTAATCAGAAATTAATAAAAATTAAAAGAATTAATTAAAAGTCTAGGGTCAAATGTCCAATTGTTCAATAGTTGAACAAGAGGCTCCAGAACCTTCTTGGAAAAGGTTTGACGGTTTCAATAAGGATATTCTAGGGTTTCTATAAATATAAATAAGGCGTTGGATAATTAACCATTTGAAATATTATTATTATCTTAAAATTTGGGTTATCTACAGCATCCTTGTTGGACAATAAAAGGGCCCTCATCCCGAAGGATTTTGGCCACTCATATCTTTAGACATATAACTAAAATTCTTATATGCCCCTCTCCTCTCTCCATATTCATCTTGTTGCTAGTGTTGGGTGTGAACCACTAGAGGCACGATATTTGTGGTGCTTTCTCTCAAGGCTTCAACAACACAAAGTTCTTTGTTATTTGTCAACAACAATCAAGGTATGTTTCTCTTAGCCCTAATCATATTTTCGAAAATATGTTAGGAATGCTAGTGTTTCTTATTTGATGTTGAAAGTTGCATATTTAATTAGAGAAAACATAGATCTTATTCTAGGGTTGCATGCACACTTATTTTTTTTATTATTTATTTATTTTATTTTTTTGTTTTGCGTAAAACCGATCAGTTTTATCATTCCACCCTTATGTGATGAGATATCTCCAAAATGAAATTCCTTTTAATTCTAATACGAATACTATCCACCATAGGTTCTATAGTATTCCCGATTAATAAGGTATTGATAAATTGCTATTCAACCCTTAAATTAATTAGACTATTAATTAATTCTCATAATGTTTTCAAATTACTTTATAATTAGTTATTAAACCATAATACGTAATAAATCAATTCCCCTTTTGTTGATTCTACTTGATTTGAGTATTGAAGGCAACTCAAGAGAACCTTCCTATTATTATAGATATCAACAGTAGTTAATGATCTTGGAGACACTTTCCAACAGTCTACCACTTTGACAAACATCAACTATAGATGACGATGTTTTGTCAAAAAGTAATACTTGCAACACTATTTGGAATCACATTGCTCCAACCAAGGAAAACATCTTAATTTGCATGTTAGGCTTGGTGATCTATACACTAGATTGAACCTCCATAGAATTAGGATCCCTTTGCAATCATCTATATGAGCCCTCCGTGCGACAAGCAATGAATCTGTGCCCATCATGTACTCTACTCTGATGGCCCTGTTATGGATATTGTAGATATGGGAAGAAGGTTGTCTTCTGTTGGAAATGTTATGGATAATGTAGATATGGCAATCAGGTTGTCTTCCGTTTGAAATTCAAGAGCAGCAAAGAGTTAGTAGGTGATCCAAGTATTATATAGCAAGAAATGATGAATAGTTTTGTTAGTAAATATGCTCTCTCAATCCTGGCAGATGTGAAATTTTTTGCCATCAACAAAGGTTGGACTGACATTTTCAAATACGGGAAGGTATTGAAACGCTAATACATTTGAAGTGTTGTTCCTTTATGAAACGTGTGCTTGATCTCAGGAGAATAGATTATGAGTAATGTGAAATATGTTTAAGGGATCATGAAGTGTTCAGATTCAAATGCATACTTTCATACACCAACACATACAAATACACATTTCATATATATTTATACTCATACAAATAACTTGACAGAAAATAAAACAGGTTTTAAACAAAGATTAATCCACCCTGTAACTAAAGAAAACTACATCCGCTACTTTTATCAGCAAAGGAATGTATAAGATCGACCAGTAGATGTTTTGTACTTCGGATTTTTTAATAGATCGAAGTACTCGATGTATATATACAGTTCAAGTTGGCCTCTGTTATAACAAAAGTTCATGTTTAATGCTTTCACGGTTTATCTAATACACTAAACATAAGAGGCCTATGCAGTTAATGTAATAGGAATTGTCATGATTTATTGACTGAAGAAATTCGCATCTGTGATGCACACATGTGGCTGGTAGATGATATCACCAAGCAAATGCAGTCTGAAATGAAACATTAACCCATAAAACTTTATGAGTCCACAATAGAGGTGACAATTAAAAACTGCACATATAAAAAATTAATCATATTAACATGAAGATATTTTGACCATCATTATTGGTAAAGGAGTTGTTGTATTAAAAATTAATCATATTAACTGTAGGTTGGACAACTTACAGGGGAGCCTTCCTTTCGTCTTTTATCTCATCTTCCAAGGATTCGTCTCAGCCAACCAGTTCATCCTATTTATTATATTGAACATTAGTTAGCTTTTTTGGTTTGCCACACACACACACACACACACAAAAAAAAAAAAAAAAAAAAAAAAAAAAACCTAATTGAAAAACCTACGGATTGAAAAATTATAATTACTAAAACTAAAGACTCTCTGAGATCTTTTTTGCTTTAAAAAAGATCTAATAGTCGATCACCAAGTGTCAGTATCTTTCTTGATATTTACGGAAAAAGCATGTAAAGAACTACAGATCAGATCTGCAACACGATCTCCATAATCTCCAAACAGAATTCAATAAGAATTGAAGCAGATGTCAGCTTTAGAGTAATGAAATTAACGTTACTAGATATAGCATAAATTGGAAAGTTGAGCAGAGAAATTTATTGGAATCCAAACATTTACATAAGAAAACGTTATATAAATTTACCTTCTCAAGCTAGGGGCCTCGGACAAACCAAAAAAACCAACTCTTGAAATGTTATGAACACCTAACTGATAGTAATCTGATTCTACAAGGCTGACAACAGGATACACATCAAAGTATAGTGTGAGTGACACTCGAACAACATAATCTTCAAAACACCAAAGTATATATGGCGGATGTTTACTAATTTTTATATCTATCTGCATGATGAAGGAAAAAAAAAATCGTCATACAGAACTCTTGGTGATTATCATGAGTCGATACCTTAATGAAAACAATGCATGATTTTCATATATGTAAGAAACGATTGGTGATCAAGATTGACAGCGGCTGCGAAATCGTATTGAAATGAAACTTAACATATCGTATATATATAGTGTGGGCGTAACCCTAACCCTGATCTCTAGATCTAGCGTTGGTGATTTTTATCAAGCTCCCCTATTATTGTACATATCTTCAAATAAAACCCTAAGGTTACGCAAAATGACACTTTGATTGCTTGATGAATAAAGTGTTACTTGATTTTTTATATGTAATTTTTAAGAACTCTTATATATAAATGGCCACAGCCCACAATACTTGAGTACCTTTTTTTAACATAAATTTAATCATTTGTAGACTACTCTTAGTTCCACATATGCCTCCAACAAGACGAGAACCGTCGACTTCAAGGATAGGCAACAACTGATACGGTTAGATTATTATAAGTGTTTTGGTAAATGGCAACAATACTCTGATTTTTTTTTTTTTTTGGAAAAATAGTTGATACATTTTTCTTTCTTGTTTAAGTGAGAATATCTTTCATCATTTGACATTGTAATTATTCGAGGTTGAGTATCCGATATTCATGGTCTATCCTTTCAACATAAGATGGCGTAATTAGCACAAACGTATTAAAATGTTTGGTTACAAAATTAATGGTTTCAATAAATGTTAAAAGTTTGATTTACTTGTTAAATGAAATCACAATAAATAATATACGGCTAATTATATTGAACTTAAAATTAAATTTCGGGACGAAACCGATGTTCATAATGTACATAAAGTAAAATCGTGCATGTATTTATCGTTTAACATGCCCTTGAGTTCAACTCTATAAGTCAAATAATGCTTAACGATAAGTATTTTGTTTTATGAAAGTCTTGTTCGAATGTTTATTTAGTTGAATATTGGATTACCTCATTATTAGATTAATCACACCCTAGTGTTTTTATATTAGCACATTGTGGTACGTTGATTGGGACTTTGTAATTTATGTATATTTGGATTCCTATCACTATTTTAAGTCAATCTGAGTTTCACAACACGTTCAAACATGCTATGGACGATTAAATCTCAAGAATTAAATTTGTTGGTAAATATCCATTGATTTTCGATAAATAATTGCAAGAATCACGTACACCTGATAATAATATATTTGTGAATTTGTTATAAGTTTAAAAACTAATGGTGGATATATCAACTTACCAAACTCAACTATGGGCAATGTAATAACTGTGTCAGGCATATGTTGCATGCTACTCCACCGTGACTAACATGAAGAAACCCTAGATTTCTCATCCGATACAACATACCTTACTGTAAATGCTCTACGTTCCTCAACAAACAATAAGGGGGAACAAAAAAAGTGGTAAAAAATGAAACAATTGTAAGGGTGTTCTACTATTAATCATTTTACGTGAAATGGACATCTAATAGAATAAAAATATGCATGTTTTCTAAGCAATGGACAAGCATATTTCACAACTCAACAGCACAACCATTTTTTCTATGATTTTGAGCACTATAACTTGCATACAACCACCTAATTCTAACCACATAAGGGCCTTGGTTAAGCCGTTTCGATGGCCCCACAATAGTCTTTTTCTTTTCAGTATCCCACCATCAAACAGTTGCAACATCATGTATGTCTTTCTTAATTCCGGATGGACAATGTAGCATCCGCACGTAGGGCCTAAAACTTTTAGATCTAAGGTTTTCTATGTATAAAAAACACTTAAACTAGGTAGTGAAAAAACAACTTATGATATACCTAAGTGTACATGCAACCTATGGATGTATGTCTTCGCGCTTGAGCTCTCGTGCTCGTGACCTTGTTTACATGAAAATGACTCAAACCGGAATCCCTCTCTTGGTTCATAACCAGTAAACTCAAAAGTGCATAATTAAAATATAACTGGGAGGGGTTAAACTCTTAATGAACTCCTCCACAAGAAGGGAGAAAGAAGATGTGAAATTTAAAGCCAAGAATAAGCAAGGATTATGGCTTTGGATATATTCCACTGTTTTTGCTGGATTAAGTGTCTAATCTCATAACTATAATTTGTATATAACTGAGTTGACTGTAGCATACTCTTTTTGGGTTGCCTTCATAACTAGCAATTGGACGGCATGACTTTTGGAGAGAGAGAGATTCATTTATTATATAATTAATAAATTGAAATAAATAATTTAGTAATATGTTGTGAGAACAATATATTAATTACAAATAGTTATATATAATTAATATTTAATCAGAAATTAATAAAAATTAAAAGAATTAATTAAAAGTCTAGGGTCTAATGTGCAATTGTTCAATAGTTGAATAAGAGGTTCGAGAACCTTCTTGGAGAAGGTTTGACGGTTTCATTAAGGATATTCTAGGGTTTCTATAATTATAAATAAGGAGTTGGATAATTACCATTTTGAAATATTATTATTATCTTAAGATTTGGGTTATCTAGGGCATCCTTGTTGGATAATAAAAGGGCCTTCATCCCTAAGGATTTTGGCCACTCATATCTTTATACAAATAACCAAAATTCTTATATTCCCCTCTCCTCTCTCCGTATTCATCTTGTTGCTAGTGTTGGGTGTGAACCACTAGAGGCACGATATTTGTGGTGCTTTCTCTCAAAGCTTCAACAACACAAGGATCTTTGTTATTTGTCAACAACAATCAAGGTGTGTTTCTCTTAACCCTAATCATATTTTCGAAAATTTGTTAGGTATGCTAGTGTTTCTTATTTGATGTTAAAAGTTGTATATTTAATTAAAGAAAACATAGATCTCATTCTATGATTGCATGCACACTTCAATTTTTTATTTGTTATGCATAAAACCCATCAATTTTATCCTTCCACCCATATGGGATAAAATATCCCCAAAATGAAATTCCTTTTAATTCTAATGGGATTACCATCCACCATAGGTTCTATAGTATTCCTGATTAATAAATTATCGATAAATTGCTTTTTGACCCTTTAATTAGTTAGACTATTAATTAATTCCCATGATATTTTCTAATTAGTTTATAATTAATTATTAAACCATAATAACTAATAAATCAATTCCACTTTTATTGATTCTACTTGATTTGAGTATTGAAGGCAACTCAACAGGACCTTCCTATTATTAGAGATATCAACAGTAGTGAATGACCTTGAAGATACTTTCCAAGAGTCTACCACTTTGACAGGTCATTAACTATAGATGACCATGTTTTGTCAAAAAGTAGTACTTGCAGCACTATTTGGAATCACATTGCTCCAACCAAAGCAAACATCTTAAGAAAACATCTTAATTTGCATGTTAGGCTTGTTCATCTATACACTAGATTGAACCACCTTAGAATTAGCATTCCTTTGCAATCATCTATATACACGCTCCGTGCGACAAGCAATGAATCTGAGTCACACTTATTTCTTAACTATCCTAAAGTCATTAAGGTAAATGTGATTTTGCATCATTGGTGGTGGGATATCCCTATTACCAGTGTGCCCATCATGTATTTGTTTTTGAGGTTGGACCAATTCTACGCTGATGGCCTTGTTATGGATAATGTAGATATGGGAAAAAGGTTGTCCTCTATTGGAAATGTTATGGATAATGTAGATATGGCAACAAGTTTGTCTTCCATTTGAGATTCAGGAGCAACAAAGAGTTATTAGGTGACATCCAAGTATTATATAGCTAGAAAAGATGACTAGTTTTGTTAGTTAATCTAGTCTCTCAATCGTGGCAAAGATTTCCACAACTACTTGTAGCTCTAGCCTCTCACTAGCTTTGTTTTTATAAAAAAAAAAAAAACACCCTTAGGTTTAAAAAAACATCATATAAATAATACCCACTTATATTTTTTAAGATTTATTGAGCATACTCAATGTATCAGAAGATGTGAAATGTTTTGCCATAAACAAAGGTTGGACCGACATTTTCGAATACGGGAAAGTATTGAAAGTTTAATACGTTTGAAATGTTATTCCTTATTGAAACGTGTGCTTGCATCTCATGAGAATAGATTATGAGTAATGTGAAATATGTTTAATGGATCATGAAGTATTTAGATTCATATGCATACATTGATACACTAACACATACAATACACATTTCATATATATTTATACTCATACAAATAATTTGACAGAAAATAAAACAGGTTTTAAAAAAAGATGAATCCACCGTATAACCAAAGAAAACTACATCCACTACTTTTATCAGCAAAGGAATGTATAAGATTGACCAGTAGATGTTTTGTACTTAGGACATGATTTTTGGTGTTAGGGCTTTAGTGGTTACTCTCTAAAACTTGATCGTTAAGTGTAAAAAGCTCGGAATACTAAAACGGATTTTAAATTTGCTAGAAGATGACGGAAATGAATTTGACTTCCAAATGAAGTTTTTGACTGTAGAAATTATATATATGAAATCTTCGGGTTGTCACACTAGAGTTGGGTGTGAACCACTAGAGGCACGATATTTGTGGTGCTTTCTCTCAAAGCTTCAACAACACAAGGATCTTTGTTATTTGCCAACAACAATCAAGGTATGTTTCTCTTAACCCTAATCATATTTTCGAAAATTTGTTAGGTATGCTAGTGTTTCTTATTTGATGTTAAAAGTTGTATATTTAATTAAAGAAAACATATATCTCATTCTATGATTGCATGCACACTTCAATTTTTTTATTTGTTATGCATAAAACCCATCAATTTTATCTTTCCACCCATATGGGATAAGATATCCCCAAAATGAAATTCCTTTTAATTCTAATGGGAATACCATCCACCATAGGTTCTGTAGTATTCCTGATTAATAAATTATCGATAAATTGCTATTTAACCCTTTAACTAATTAGACTATTAATTAATTCCATTGATATTTTCTAATTAGTTTATAATTAATTATTAAACCATCATAACTAATAAATCAATTCCACTTTCATTGA